GACTGCATCTTGCTGCTGGTTGTCGATGTCCATGGTATCGGGCTGCTGTGGGCTCAATGTTGCATGTGGAAGGCTTCCAACATCTTTTTGGCAATTATGAGGTACTTCTGGTCGTGATGATATTACGTCTCGTAACTGAACGACAGGAGGTGAATGAGTGACATGTGTATCGGTACGTGACGATGATATTGTCTGCGATAGCAACTATTGTTCAGCACTCCCATTGACACCAGCCTCCTCATCATTCCTGGACTGCTGAACGTTTTCCTGCTGCTGAGTTTGAGGGTCAAACTCGATCGTTTCCTGTCAATTGCAAATAATATTGTCACAATTGTTGTTATAGACGGGTACAAAATGGCGTACATAAGATCGATTAATTGGCAATCACGAATGAAAAAATTTAATAGAAAATCTTAGCAAATTCGCTAGAAAATTCTATTGGATTTCTATCAAATTTTCTACAAGTTGTTTGCCGTTTCTATTGACATGTTTGATCGGAAATATTCTGTAGAAAAAGTCAATAGAAATCGATTCCCCATAGATTTTCTTCGGCTCAAATTTTCAAATTTTTTTGTTTGATTTTCTTGAAGGAAAGAAAATAATAGCGTTTTTCTTCGCGTGATTATTTTCAGATTAAACATTTTATGTTTCTTTCCAAGCGATTTTTGCTGGTTTGGATTTTGACGTATTTCTTCGGAGACAGAAATCTCGATAAAACAATTGAACCCTAACAGACAAGGGGGGGGGGGGGGAGGGGCTCATCTGCTTTATCGACATTTCTGTCTCGGAGGAAATGTCAAAATCTAATCCAGAAAAAATCGCGTTGAAAGAAACGCGAAATTTTTAATCTGAAAATAATTACGCGAAGAAAAAAGCTATAAAAATGGAATGAAAAAAAATTTGAAAATTTGAGCCAAGAAAATTTTATAGAAAATATCTCAATAGAATAAGTTTTATAGAAACATGAAATTCTATTGACTTTTTCTATATAATGTTTTCTATTAAAAATGTCAATAGAAACGGCAAAAAATTTATAGATAATTTAATAGAAGTCCAATAGAATTTTCTAGGGAATTCGCTAGAATTTTCTATAAAATTTTTTCGTGCGTAAATAGATGCTTGAGAAACGTATAAATAATCAAGATGGGAGGGAAACGCACGAAACTATTTCATAGATTATTCTTGTATGATATTATTCATAGATTATTAAAATACAAAATATATCCCGTGAAGTAAACCGCTCGTGAAATTTGCACGGGAAAATAACCGCCCGAATACTCCTGCTTCACGCTTGTGATTTATTTCAACATAATTTTGCAGCTCTCGTGGTATAATGGGCGAGAAATCGAGCGAATCGATAGACAATTATATTACATTCCTATTGATGTTATATTGAATATTCTACTGATATTTGTGGGATTCTACTTTCAGAAAATATCTAATAAAAACTATTTTATAGAAAAATCAGTATGATTCTATCTTTCTCGAGCATTTTTTTCTATCGACACCTTTTCAATAGGAATTACTCGAATCAATTTTATCCTTTTCTTCACACAATTATTTATCCTTGTTCTTCTCTTTCTATTAGAAGTAAAATAAATTCTTTCTCTCTCGTATACCCTCTCGAGTTTTTTCGAATTTCACCTTATCTCCCCCCTCCCCCCTAACCCCCTAGCACGCATTCGCCAGAGAAACAAGGGAAAAACCTCACTTGAAGGAAACACCTGCCCTGGTACAGTCGTCTCTACCCCTTGAGCTTCAAAATTCATCGGGTATTTCCCTCAGAATTTTCTGCAAACTAACTAGAGTATCAAGTTGTGCAGGTTTTAAAATCCCGAAACGTATGAAAAAATTCAATCGAAAAACCTGGCGCTTTTTCTAAGAAATTCAATTATATTTTTATCGAAATTTTATAAGAATTCTATTTGTTTTTTGTGCAATTATTCTATAGAAGATATTTAATAAGCTGCATAAATACGAGAATTCCTCAATTCATTCAAATCTCCAATTGAACATTATTATTCAGTGCGGAAATACACTCAATTGTCTGTTGAATCTGAAATTTCATGATTCTTCCCCTTTAAATCGCATCATGTGTTACTGTCTGGAAAATTCAAGGATATATTCAGTTATTGTAATACCCCAAGACCTTCAAAATCATCGAATATTTCCCGATAGCTTCGTTGCGTAGCAACGAGAGGGATGAGTTTTGCAGGATAAAAATCACGAGCGCGAAACGCGAGGGATTTTTCTGCAAAACTCATCACGATCGTTGATACGCAGGGAAGTTTGAGGAAAATATTCGATGAATTTTGAAGGTCGAGGGGTATTCGGAGGAGAATTTCCTTCCTGCTGGGTTCGAGAAATTAGAGTGCAGTGGTCGAGGTCACGTGGCACCTTACACGAACATCTCACAGAAGGGGGAAAAAACAAATGCTGGAGCAAATCGACTCACTTCAGAGGACTCTTTATCTCGATTTAAATCAACACAACCTCACATAAAGCCATTTTTCACAAGGTGAAATGTCAAAAACCTGGAGAACAATTAACAGGCTACTACTGTGGAATTATCAGTTTGATAATTCACCCGTAGCCCGGTGAATTATAAAAATAATTCTGGCATGAAGGTTTCACGTGACCTCGAATACTGCGCTCCGATTGGGCGAATCCAGGAGGGCGGAAATTCTCAGTAGTAATATCACAAGACCTCCAAAATTACTGAATTTTTCCCCGATTATTTTGTTGCGTAGCAACGAAAGGGAGAAGTTTTGGAGATTAAAATTCTTGTGCAAAACTTATCCCGATAGTTGATACGCAGGAAAACATGAGGGAAATATTCGATTAATTTTGGAGGTCGAGTAGTATCCGCCATTTTGAGGATAATAGTATCCAAGAATTGCTGATAAATTTTAACTCATTGGACAATTTTGTTTACCGGGGAGTCGCAGTTCGAGACTTGAATTTTTGAATTTTCAATGAATCAAATGAAGTACTCTCCAGCTCATTAAAAAAAATAGACTCCACACTGGCGTTAACGAATAACAAATACTCAATAATGAGTGACCGAGTTCAATACCCTCTTAAGGTATTTATAAATTCGAGAGACGCACAGCGACGCTCAATGCTTAATTCTCAAATTGAGAGGTTGATATGAGTATTGTTATGAGCTGATAAGCTTATAACAATGTTAATTAATTTTTTTTACACATTAGCCTAATAAGACGAATGTTTTAAGATTGATTTCGGTAGCGAAATCGATTTTGTATTTATTACAAAATGATTTGGATTGTTAAAGAGTTTGATATCGCTGGAAACCACACGGCACAATTTGATTCATTGTTGGTAATTTGTAACATGAGTATTAATTCTCTCAATCAGTGGAGAGTCATTAAAATATTTTGAAAGCAATGAGGAGAATTTTCAAAAATCGTCAATGGCATCAATTTAATTGAAATATTTTTTTAGGGCTCGGCTCTGATAAAATGGTTTCAACGAAAAAAACTATTGTTTTTTTCGTGGCAGAAAAATTAAGAGAAGGTTGAGGAAAAATGCATTTTTATATTCATTGCCATTGATCCTATTTCTGCGAAATGACTGGTCTACAATATTTGTTTTTATTTTTCAAATTTTCAGCAGGTCTCGAAAAATTTCATAGAAAAATCTAATGTATTCCTAAAAACATGATATTGAAATTTTATTGAAGTTCTGAAACATTCCGAAGCTTTTCAGGGCATCTCAAGAAATGGGAAATATTCAAAAGAAAATACTTGATTGGAACAAAAAATAAAAGATTTCCATAGTTCTGAAGAACTTATTTAATTTTTTAGGTTTTGTTTCATCAATTTTGTTTCTGCTCTCAATTAATCCCTCAAACCCAGCGTCTGTGAAATGTTCAATATTTTCGAAAATATAGAAATTTATAAGTTCGTATAAACATTGTTGTCAAATTAGTGAATCGTGTTGCTATTTAGTGCGCAACGTGGTTAATGACAAAAGTACCCCGTACTTAAGGAATTGAACAGATCGAGCAAAAAAACTTGAAACATTTGAGCCGAGGAATTTTTACAGAAACAATCTCATTCTAATGAATTGTACAGAAAGATAAAAAACAAAAGATTTTACCTATTGAAAAAAATGCACTGGAAAGCTCCGAAATTTTGTCGGTAGAATCGACGATAAACGAATGAAATTTTCAATAGAAGTCCAATAGAAATCAGATAGAATTATTTAGTAAATGCGTTTTATTTTTCTATGAAATTTTGTTCGTATATGGTGCTTCAGTATGAGCACTTCGTTGTTGAAAATCAACGCTCAATTGACTTGATTGGCATTAATTATTCTCTTATCAGCATGTAGATAATTAGAAAAATTTACAAAAATTTTGGAAAAATTATAAAAATTGTACCGTTTTAAGCAGAGTTCCATTAGAATCTGAGGTTATAATTCAATAGAAGGAAGGCAATACAACTCGTATAGGCCGCAGACGGGCGACAGGAAGTTTAGAAAAAATTCATGGCAAACGAGTCAAATTCTTTCGGCGAGTGAATCTCTTTTTATCAGATCGGAATTGTAAGCAATGGATAGTTTCAATATATTCAAGTGCACTGCTATCAGAATTATTTAGAATAGTAAATAGTGTTACCACCGAGCGGAAGTCACCGTCCATCTGATTCTGATTAGGGCAATTGCGCAGAACAATTGTGGAATTAAATAATATTGAATTGACCCGGACGGCTAATCAAATCCCCTCGTTTCATATGCTAATTCTAGAAAGTGGGAAAGGGGTGATGTTATAAGAAGACTAGAACAGCCTGCAGCGATTTATTGTGTCGGTGTGAAGTCGGAGATTCACTCTGTAGCTTCATCGTTTGAAGCCACAATAAATACTGAATCGATTTTCTGATAATCCCATGTGAGGAGTGAATTTTCAAGATTTCGTAGAAGTAATTATTACGGTATAAATAGATAGTACTTATCAAGTTCAGTGAAAGGAATAAATTATGGCATTACAAGAAGTTCTTCCTTACAATCCGTTTTTGAAAACCCCAATGGATCCTGATGAAGAGATTGTTATATCTGGTATTTCTGGAAGATTTCCAGAGTCTGATAATTTGCACCAATTTCGAGAAAATCTTATGAACAAAGTTGATCTGATCACTGATGATTCTCGTCGCTGGATATTAGGCAAGTAAATGAAGAGCGTGAACTTTTACCCGAGTGGAAATTTTAGTCAGGTCTTGATTAGACACTGATCAGATTACCTTATCAGTTTTTGATCAGGCATGTAACGCTATAATTTTGAATTTGCCACTAGGGTTTCGCCGCCTACCATCATTAGGCATTAATTAAATTTAAAATTTTTTGAGAGAAAAAATTAGTAACTTCCTAGCCGGGAATCGAACCCGGGACCTCCCAATGTCGCGTCGGGTGCTCTTACCATCTGAGCTACCAGGACACTTACGAATTTCACTCTCAATTTGAATCATACCCGAGTGGAAATTTTAGTCAGGTCTTGATCAGACACTGATCAGGTTACCTTATCAGTTTTTGATCAGGTATGTAACGCTATAATTTTGAATTTTCGACTAGGGTACTTCGCGCGCGAAAACGTGTCTTTATGAATTGTGTATGGAATCCTCTCCGTATTCATGAAAAAAAATCTAGTGCTCAAGTAGAAATTTCATCAGGCAGGTCTTTTGGCAGGAAAGACCCTGTTCCGGTATCAATACGGTATACCTGATTGATTACAGCATGCCACATCAGGATCGGAAGGGGACCATTGCATGTTCACCTTACCAATAAAATTCTAAAGTTCAAGCAGGCATGCCTAATCATGCCCAAGTCAGGGCCTTTTGAGCGTACCGTAAAAAAAAAATTGAAGTTCTATCCGACATGTCTAATAAGACCAATACCAGGGAATTTTTCCGTCTGCCTTAATTGAATATGAGTACTCGTTGAGTATACCGCATACTACCAATTCGATTCGGCCATGATCAGGACCGGGTAAGGTATCCAGACAATCCTTAACTTCGAAAATTTTATAAATTCAGTACGGCGAACCTGATCCGGCGATGATCAGGTCCGTGTAAGGCTTGCCGTACGGGACTTTTACCAAAATTTTTACCAAGCAAAGAGTTGGGGTGGAAGTGGAAAAGGCGGGAGGGTCGGAGAGGAGGCGGGATGATTATCAGGAATGTTATACTAATTGATATTATTGTAGATTAGTTCAATACTAGGGGAGGGTAGGGTAAAACGGACCGGCAGCGCAAAACGGATCCCTAGGGCAAAACAGACCACTGACAGAAAATTGGTAATTTTTGTTTTTATTCTTTTCTTCAAATCAGGAACACTGAATGTGTTGAATTAAAAGTGAGTTTCTTGAATCGTAACCATTACAGGGGTTTTATAGACAACAAGTGTCGTTGAACTGTAATTTGATCAGATTTGCTAATCACCTCAAACCACAAATGATTTCGAATTTGCTCCATTCGGAAGCAGAAACAAAAATTATCAATTTTCTGTCAGTGGTCCGTTTTGGCCTGGGGTCCGTTTTGCCGTACTCTCCCCTATCATGTTATTGGGAGTATTATTGATATGCACAAAACAAATAGTCATTTCCAAGAATGACACGGTAGTCGAGTGGATAGGGTACAGAATTACTAACCGAAACGTTCAGAATTCAAGTCCCGCTCCGGGTGATTTTTTTCCTTTATTTTCTCGACCCGCCTGTTCTCGGACCAATATTTATTCATTTATTATGTATTTTTCGCCTAATTTATTAATCCAGACAGCAATTTATTCATTAGTAACAAAGTCTGTTAACCAGGCAAGGGCGAGACGTGACTGCCTGTCATGGCCTTTATTAGGTTTGGAAATTAGATTCTGATTATAATCAGAATCTGATTTCCAAACCTGATAAAGGCATAAATGCTTTACATTAGATTTCCGATTAGGTCCTGATGTGGCAATCTTAACAGGATCGAATCTTTCCAATAGCACAGTGGACCAGGCCCTGACCAGTCAAGTACTAAAATTTCTACTCGGGTGATGTTGACTAAAATTCTTGGCTATTTCTGGGAGAATTTCATATAAACTTGCAGGCTCGGAATTTTTTCCAGGCCCTCAGCTTGTGTCCTTTTGCCCCTGCTGTCACTAGAATTATGGTAAAGTTTCTCTCTCCGTGTACTGGAAAATAAAATACATGGGATAAAAAATCGTGCTATGTGTAAAATTTCTGGGAGATAAGGAAAACTACAGCACTATTGGGTATCTGAACCATCAGAAAAGTTACGGAACAATAGAAATTATCGTGCTAGTGCATGAAATTTCCATGGGATTTTTCCCTTGAACTCCGACGTGGAATACAATAGGATAAAGCAAAAATTAGCAGGTATTTTTGGAAAACAGAGAAGGGTAGGGCAAAATGGAACATTTGTGATCTACTTCAGTGCTTGATATTCTTGGCGTATTTGCTCTTTTCCTCCGGCTCAATCACCTGTATGTGCAATCGTTTTCATTCTCATTATTCTTTTATCTTTGTTTTTTAGTCCACGGACGTGTTTTTGTATGTTTTTATTAATTTTTTTCCTCAAATTCTTTGAGTCATTCATTATTAAATGAGCTTATACTTTAGAATATCTTTATTTTGTCAACAGAGACATTGGGATTTTGAGTCGATAACAAACGTTCCACTTTGGCCCACCTTCCCCTATGTAAAAGTATTTTTAATCGATTTCCAGAATCATTTGGGAATTCGCAACAAATTATTTTATTTAAAACTTAATTAGGAGTATTGACTCACAGCTTTTTTTAACACACCATGATACATTGAACACCGTGGTAAATGCTAGCACGCGTCTTCCATCTTTTCTATTCGTTCTGGTTATATCTCATCGAAGAGGCAAGCACCATGCCTACTCCGGTATTACTGCCCTTCAGTCTTATCTCCGACGCTATGTCTATGTCCTCATCCTTGTTTATGTTCATATTTGTGGGCATATCCGTCTTCGAAGCAATGATTATGCCTGTGCCTACATGCGGTCGGCACCCTCGTAGATGCGCCCTCAAATCAATGGTATTCAATATTTCGTAGTCAATCTTGAAACGCGAGTATAAAGGGATCGCATCTTTGAAAATATTCCGATCATGTTGAACGTCTCGGTAGTAATACTAAGAATTGGTTGAATCCTATGAAAGCATTGTTGCAGTACCGAAATGACGCTTCGTCTTTGAGGATCTGCCAATGACTAGCGCCACCGCGGCCGTAAGCAGCCGGGGCAGTGATGCCCTTTCATTATGCGTCTTTTCCTGTCAGATTCGATTATCCATTTTTCAATTAATTGTTTATAATCATTTTCATTGTAAAAAGCAATACCACCGATGAGAATCATATTCCCAATTCATCAGCTATTAAATTTTCATATCACAATAAATGGTTTGCTCATGTTCCAATTCCTGTGTTCTCATACTATAATTACAATCAATTTCTTATAGAACACACTGGAGAGTGTGAATTTCTAAAATTAAATGTTTGTTGATACTCTGATAAAAGTGCCTGTCCGCTCTGTTGTCAATTTTTCGTTTATTCATACGGTAATTCAATGAATATATTGTTCGGCTCATCAATATAATTGCGTGCTTAGAATATTGGCATCTCGTGTTTTCAGCGCCAAACTGAAAATTAAAACTTAATTAGGAGTATTGACTCACAGCTTTTTTTTATTTATATAAGGAATTTTGAATCTGCATACTAATATTATTTATTGAAAGTAAAAAAAATCGATCAACATTTTCACTTAGATTGAATTCTATTAATTCTAATCGACTTTATTCGAAGAAAACCTCAGTAAATGCAGTATTAAGAAAGTAGAATTACTCTATTTTCCTATAACCTAATGATTTGAACATTCATGATTCGTTTATTCATGTTTTGACGATTGCACTCATGAAAAACGCCTTACTTTTTCCATTTGTCTAAGATATCCGCCATGTTCGAGTTCTCATTTTCGATTCGAGATATTGCTCATGCCATTCTTTTTCTTTTAGAAAGAACAATAATTTTTTATGAAAGCATCACAATCTGCGAACGGTCTCAGCAGGTGATATCAAGAATTTTATCTTACGAATTCCGAACAATCATTTGCTTAGATATTTTTTCCATATGGGGCAAAAGATACAGGCAAAATACTGCTGCGCACGGTAAAATGGGTTTATTTCGACGGATCCGAAAAAATTCTTGTGCCATCACCCGAAATTTTGTTGCGTACGTAATCATACAGGAATCGTTCGCTGTGAATACGTGAGAAATTTCTCTATTCTGCAATAAAATTTCCGATGCTGACATCGGATCCAATGAAATGAACTCATTTTACGGCAACAGTAATTTTTCCTATATTTTTCTCTCCGTGCATATGTCATGCGTCTCGAGTATCACAGATATGAGAGGAGCGAAAAATATATATTAAAGTATATTCTTCATTTAAGTATAATAAGCCACTTTATCTCTCCACAGATCACCCGGAAATTCCCCAAGCGACTGGAAAAGTAAATTATATTGAGAAGTTTGACGCAGCTTTTTTCGGTTATGACTTTAAGGAAGCCCACACAATGGATCCCCAGGGTAGAATGTTGATGGAGCACGCTTATGAAGCTATCGTTGATGCTGGAGTCAATCCCAAGAACTTGAGAGGCACTAACACTGGGGTGTTCGTGGGGGCATGTTGCGCAGAGTCTGAGATCGTTTGGATTTACCAAAAACTTCAGGTGCACATGATTTTTTCTTTTATTCTATAGTGAAATTTTGATCCCACTTGAATTCAATGTTCTTCTCAATGAGAGTTATGATTGTTTGATTAATCAATTATTGATCAATTAATTCTTTTTTGCTGAATAGAAAGATGGGTATGGTGTTACTGGATCGTGCCGGGCTATGCTAGCGAATCGATTGAGTCAATGGCTGGGAGTAAAAGGACCAAGTTACACTGTCGATTCTGCCTGCAGTTCGAGTCTCTTCGCCATGGAGCATGCATACAGAGCCCTCCGGACTGGTCTGTGTGATTATGCTCTCGTTGGTGGCACCAATCTTTGTCTTCACCCCTATGTGTCATTTCAATTTTCGCGTTTAGGTAAAAAAGCGTGAAATGAGTGTTGAATCATATAGATTAAGGGAGGCAATGAATGAAGATATCAAAAGAAATAATTTGATTATTCCAGGTGTTTTGTCTCGTGACGGTCGATCGAAACCGTTTGATAACAGCGCGAATGGTTATGCGAGGGGTGAGACTATAAGCGTCGTTTTTCTTCAGAAAGCCAAGGATGCAAAGCGTATTTATGCAAACATGATTCATGCAAAAACGAATTGCGACGGTTTTAAACCACAGGGAATTACGTTCCCATCGAGTCAGATTCAGAGTGTTCTCCTGAAGGATTTCTATGAAGAGTGCAAAGTATCACCATCTTCATTGGCATATCTTGAGGCTCATGGTACTGGTACGAAGGTGGGAGACCCTGAGGAGCTGAATGCAATTGAAGCCATCTTCTGTCCTGGTAGAAAAGAACCACTGAAAATTGGCTCAGTTAAATCTAACATTGGGCATGCTGAGCCGGCTAGTGGGATGGGTCAAATTGCTAAAGTTGTTATTGCCAATGAAACTGGCATTATTCCACCGAATTTACATTATAAGGAGCCACGTGAGGGTGTCAAAGCGCTTGCAGATGGAAAACTAAAGGTTGTTATTGAACCAACGCCTTGGAGTGGAGGATACGTTGGTATTAGTTCGTTTGGCTTCGGTGGTGCCAATGCCCATGTTTTGCTCAAGTCGAATCCTAAGGAGAAGATCAATGGTGGTGCACCTCAGGATGATCTGCCGAGGCTCGTTATTGCTTCCGGAAGGACTGAGGATGCTGTTGAAACCATTTTGGCAGATGTAAGTATGACGTGGGAGGTTTTCGTCCTTCCTTAATCAAGTCACATTTCGACTGGAAAATTAAAACCGATTAGTCTCGGTACGAGCTCACGGGGAGTTTGCCATTTTGGAATGTTTAGGGGAGGATTGATGAGGGTTTCTTCTCAATAACCGAACACGAGTTGAAATAAGATCAATATAATTAACTGAAAATAATATTTGACTACAAAATCAAACTGATAACACAGTGCAATTAAATTAGGGCCACCCCGGGCCGGAGAATGAAACTTATATTACTGGATATATTTTTCTGCGCTGATTCAAAATCTTTTTGAGAAATCGTCCTAGTCCCCTCCGGTTCTGGGAAAAAAGTGTTAAAGTTGGAAAAATGACGAAAATAGAGGATCTTGGAGATGAATAAAAATTTGAAATTTTGATCGAATGACAGCTGAAAAAAAAACCATTATCTCATAAAAACTCCGTGCAATCGATTCAAAAATCATTTTGGAAATTAAGCCGGGCAATATTGGCCTAAAAAATTAAGTTATTAGCATTAAAAAAATAAAATTGTGGAAAAATGGAATGGCGCAGAGGGGGGCAGTCGGCAATTGTTTTCACCCGCGAGAATCGACGCCAAATTCAATTCAGACTCTCCACGTCTTATAAGATTGGAATTTTCTGAGGTTCAAAATTATGGATCTTGATTGGACACGGCAAAAGATTGCTCTACTGTAACAGGAGTATGTCCGTCAGGTTTGTCAAGAGTGTCATTCGACTTGAATAATTGAAAAAAATGGAGAATGCTCATTGGTGGAATATTGAATCGCCCAGTTTGGAGTATTTTCTGCCGCTTCGAGAGAGTATTGCTTGAGAGACTAAAATTATGATTTCTCACGATTCATTTGTACTAATAACATACTCTCGGTCAGTTTTTTTACATCCAACTCCTCAGGAAAGGAATCACTCGCAATAGACTTGAAAGAGAACCCGGAGGCCCGTCCCCTTTTCTATTGCATTACCAAAATCGATGAAAAATCAAATTTTCCTTTATTCATGTGACGTTAGGAGTTTATTTGTCCTTTAATACTCTTGTTTCACTCCGACCTCGGCTAGTCTCGGTGAGCTCACGGGTGGTTCGCTCAATCGGAGGGATAAGTGAAGGATAGAGGGAGGGTTAACGATATTAAACCGACCGTACTGATGTTGGTAAAATAACTATATATTAACTTTAATTTATACACGGTAGTGTTTAATGGGTCGGTATAACGCGGTTCTTGACTCGACTTTGGGACCTTGACTCGACTTTGTTATTGGTTGGCTGAAGGCCTGAGCTCAGAGATCCGCTCTGTTTCGCTCCTGATCGTACGCTGACGTACTCTGGTGCTTCCCGAGTCGTCCAAACTCGTCAAAGTCCCAAAATGCTTACCTAAGCAATCCCACGGTTTTCTTCACTAATACGGTTTCGTGCATTCGTTTGTATAGAAACCTACACAGTCAAACAGTTCAGCACCCTGAACTGGACCTGTAGAAACCGTGGAACTGCTTACGCTGGTGTCCATGGGACACCGTGGGACTGCTGAGCAATCTTTGGATGAAGGAAATGAGAAATCTCGTTTCCCGTTCCCATTGTCCACCACTTTGGGCATAATAATTATAATTATTAAATAAATCGACGTATTGATCGATCTCAATACGTCACATTCAACATTTCAACAATATGTATAACAAATTCATGAACGTTTTTCCATCAACATTTCATTTTTTTTGCATCATCAAGAACTCGCAAAGAAATCCTGAGTGACTTTCATTTGTGAGTGGTATTGTCTGCCGTGATCAGTGTCCAACAGTAGTCTGCTAGCATATTTATGGGCTTTTTCCCATGGTATCGCTTTTCCATGACTGCCATGTCTTGATATGATGGAATCTCTCCCCATGCTCATCACAAACGTCGACCAAATCTCTCAGGAAACAATCCAAATGAGAGTAAAGGAAATGCACTTTTAACGACAAATTACATCCCATTTCTTGGAAATTCTCGAGCATCTCAGCAACGATTTGTTCGTAGTCTGTAGAACGGTGACTTCCAAGAAACTCATTGAAGACTCTTTTGACGGAATTCCATGTTTTCTTCTCGATTTCATTCAATGTCTTCTGAAAAAGTGAGTTTTGAAAATAGTTCTTTAAAGTAATACAGTGCCGGCCCATCTTTCTGAAGAGCTTTCACAAAATTCTTTATTACTCCGAGTTTGATATAAAGGGTAAACAGATTTTCTCAGCAGGTGCAAAGGGCGTTCAGACCACATTTCGTTCACCAGAAATGAAATCTTCCCGTAGGGGCCAGCTCTCTTGTGTATAATGCTGTTTTTGAGCACGACTATCCCGCGGGCAAAGGAAGCACCCGTACTTCGTAAATCCCAATTGCATTCCCATTACTAGGGAATTGGTGACGTTCGTAGTCGACTTTCTCCAGTACGTACTTGACAGTTTCATGAGTTTCCTTTAAATTGGTAGAATATGCAATTGGGACTGATGGGAGAGCAGTTCCTATGTGGAGGAGAACAGCTTTTAAGCTGCTACAAGAAGGGTCAATGAACAGACGCCACTCTTTTGGGTCATACTTGACACCCATTCCCTTTATCAAACCATCAACATTCATGCAATAGCGAAGCAGTGGGTCTTGCCGCAAAAACTCACACAACTCCTCATCTCGATGGAGGTAATGTATAATTCGTACACCAGGTTGCAAACAATTCCATCCTTTCAACCTGGAACCCAATAACTCTGCTATCGATTTTGAGACGTCTGTTTTTCTAACCAAGTCATCCAGCTGTTCTTGGCTCAAAGATCCCGAACGGCTTATTGATGTCGGTTCGTGAGGAACGTACTCTGGGTTGTCACTTATTTTTTGACCGTTCTCTTTTTCAGTTGATTGGTCGGACGGGGATGAAGGTGAATCATCACTTGGATTTTCAGTGGTTGGGCTTGATTTTGGAGATGATGATGGTAAATCAATGAAGTCAACACTTAGATATTTGATCAGGTGTTTACTCTTCATGTTGTATCCTAATAAATCAGTTAGGCAGAAGTAACAATCTATCAGGTGATTAGTCTGCTGTCTCTATCTTGCTGGGACTCTAAAGGGCATCTTTTGTCTCTTTTTCAACTGAGAGCTGAATCTTGCGACGACAATGGTTGCAGTAGTAATGTGGAACCCAAGGTTTATCCAGATTTAGAATTACCTTTCCAAAAACTTTCTCATAAGATGTCTTCAGAGATGGTATGGTGGCTTCCCTCTGAGACTTTGGTGTGCACATTACACGTAGGTAATAGAAACAGTCCGGTGAATTTTTGCATTCTCGAGGAATTCTTTTCAATTCCAGAACTTTCAAGCGATAGTTCTTAAACTCCTGGACTAGTAATATAACTCTAACCGTTTACATTCCTCTGTGTGAAGCTGGTAATTATTTTACAAAACAGTCTTCTGTTAAAAAGAATTACTACTCTGTGCCATAAATTCCATCATTAATTCCACTGTTCTAAGGATATAACACGATGAATGAGTAGTAAGGGGGTAAAACAAACTAAAGTAGCACAACTTAGAAGAACAAAAAAAAATAGATTTCGAGGAGTTAGTGAATCGGCAGAGTATCATCTTCAGTGGCAAGGTAGAAAATGCACATGAGTCAACTTGACTCCTCAATAATCCTAATTGATGAATGATAAAACGAGATGAGTGAGATCCACTCCAGTGTGAATTTTGGGTGAATATTTTCGAATCTAAGGGAAATGGGGGAATTGTCGTGAAGTAAGGCAGAATGAGAAATACAAAAAAAAGTGTCTAAAACTATTTCGCGATCTCCTTTGAATTCTGAGTTGTTCAGCAGAAAATGCCCCCCCCCCCCATGGATACTTTTTCATGGATATCGATAAATTTGGAAGGAAGAGATAGTTATGTTTATAGGGATCTCTATGGAGATCTCTATATATAGAATCAGAATATATAGAGTCAGAATCGATAGGGAGATCCCTATCGATTCTGACTCTATAGAGATCCCTATAAACACAACTATCTCTTCACACAGGGAGATTCATGAAACATCCAGAATTTCTTTGCATTCTTTGTGTACTACATTGTTGTCAACTTCCATTCGTTTACGAGCAGAAATAATAGGATAAAATAACTTATACATATCTGTTCTCCATTCAAAATTGTCTCTAGCGAGTTGGGTACTGTTTCATTATCGCGGCCTCCTCCTCTCCTCTTGAGGAACCCTGATAGATATGGTTGAACTGAGGAGATTGTGATCGTCAAATTTACCCCCACTTTTCCCAATCCCTACTACAATCCTTGTCTCCCACCTGACACTCAGGGCCACAATCTGCTCAGTCCGACAGTACTCACATGTTACTGCGCCCACTTCCCTTACGATCCAAATTTATTTATCGCCCATTAAGACGTAAAGCAGCCCAGAGAGACAACAGATTAGTTGCGTCTTCGAGCTGAGAAAAATATAAAAATGATTTTTGAAGAGAATCAAAGACTAATTTCTTTGGTAAGAAAACATCCAGAGTTGTGGAGTGATTGCTTCAGGGATTTCTGTGACGTTAATCAATTGGTGTGGATTGCCTGTGTCGAGAGCTATGTCCCCAGCTTTCAGGTATTCATTTAATAAAAATCATTTCATTCTGCTCTAGTCTGAACTTGGTTTGAATGAGAATTTAAGGACTTCCTTCCCTTACGATACGGAATCAAGCGTGGGCACGATTCAAGGGTTTACTGAATCGTTTCATCTTCCTCCTCGACTTAAGACGAGCGACTCAAGTTCCGCCTTATAGATTGGTATCCAGACCTGACTGGCCTCTGTTCAACGATCTATCTTTCATGAAAGCTCGAGTCATCCAATATAAAAGTGAGAGAAAGCATCAATGTCGATGGTAAAAAAAAATAGGTGTCAATAAGAAGCAACTACTGATAGTGGTGACGAAAATCTCCAGCCTGGATAACAATAACGGAAATATTATTCCCCTCCTCCTAAATTTTTTGACGAAAGAATAATGTGATATTTGAATTTATGATAAACATATACTCAATCATTAAGCGCAATCAATTTAAGCAGCGGAGGGGGCTAACACTATTTCTCAAAAAGATATGGAATCAGCGCAGAAAAATATATTCACTGGTATAAGTTTCATTCTCCGGCACGGGATGGTTGTAATTTTGTTGTACCGTGTAATGGGTTCGGTATCGCGCGCGGTGCCAAGATTTTTACCAAGGAGTGGAGATCCGTTCAAGTCCAACTTCTCCCGCAACGTGTGTTAGACACCATGCGTCATATAAGTAAATCTTTCTTTCATATATGGCGGTGCTGAAAAATATAAATACGAAATATTTCCATTACTCACGGGAAAAAAATCAACAAAAAATTATGCGAAATGTGAAGATAAAAATATCGAACGGTGGACTGTGGAAATTTCTTAAAAATACAGAGAAAAGGATTCTTTGTTGTACTTTCCTATCAATACCTCTCAAATTGTGCGGTTCGCGTGGGGGAAATTACGTTGAAAAGAGGGAAATTCATCCTTTGTTTCGCTTTTTTGTTGACTTAGGAAATAAGAATCCTTGAAATATATTTTTATTCTTCAATTATCTAAATTATACAGTAATTTTCCATCGATTTTTCTCTCTATGTTCATAACCGAAATTTTTCTATTTGAATTCAGGTCGAAAACCGTCCTGTTGACATCGAGTACGTTCGCTTGTTACACGATCTCCACGCAGAGAACCTTGCAGGTCACCCTTATCGAGGCTACACGATTCTCGGTGGCTCAAGACTCGGAAATAAGCTTCGAGAAATCAAGCACTATCCAGGAACCACATCGCCAGTTTGGTTCGTCTTCTCGGGATTGGAGTCCCAGTGGCCAGCGATAGGGCCGTCTCTTTTCCAATTCTCAGTCTTCACAAATGCCATAACCAAATGTGATTCAATTCTCAAACTTTATGGAGTTGACATCCTCAGTATCCTGACCAGTACTACCGGATTGACTTGCGATAACATCTTGAATTTCTTCGTTGCAATATCTGCTATTCAAATAGGTTTTGTTGACCTTCTAACATCTTTAAATATAATTCCTGACGGTATTATTGGACACTCGTTTGGAGAACTGAACTGTGCCTATGCAGATGGTTCCCTGACACTAGAGCAAACGATTCTGGGAGTATATTCCTTAGCTCTAGTTTTATCAGGAACGAGCACAATTAGCGGTTCAATGGCAATAGTCAATCTTGGTTACCGAGAGCTTAAGAATCTCTGTCCATCAGACATCGAAGTCGTCTGGCACAACAGTCCTGAAAGGTCTACTCTGAGTGGTCCTGCAGAGTCGATAAAAGTCTTTGTCGCTCATCTTAACTTAAACAACATCCGTGCTGAAGAAATTCCCTGCGGCAATATCGCTTATCATAGCAGGCACATTGCAGGTATTAGATCGAGGCTCTTTGCGCACCTGCAGAAAATTATTCCAGAGCCTAAACCTAGGAGTTCGAAATGGTGCAGCACATCTGTACCTCAATTCCAATGGGATTCGCGGCAGGCCAGACTGTCTTCCGCTGAATATCATACAAATAGCTTTCTCTCGTATGTACTTTTCGAGGAGACGTCTGCATTAATTCCTGAAGATGCTGTCATCATCGAAATTGGACCGCATGGGCTCTTCCAAGATGCTCTGAAGAGATCTGTTATTTCCGAAACCATCCCTCTCACTCAAAGTGGATATGAAAACAGTGCTGAAGCCATCTTACAGGCAATTGGAAAGCTGTATGATGTTGGACGACAACCGCAAATTTGGAAGCTTTACCCTGAAATCAAATTTCCAGTGTCCAGAGGGACTCCTATGTTATCTCCTCTCATTAAGTGGGATCATTCGGAGAACTGGTACGTTACATCCTACCAGGAACAAGAGACGATCACCTCTGGAGAAAGAACCGTGGAGTTGACACTCTCAGATGAGGATTATGAGTACATGGGAGGGCATGTTATCGATGGACGAAATCTTCTACCTGCCACAGGGTACTTGACGCTCATCTGGGAAACTGTGGGGATGTTGAGGGGGAAATTGTATACAGAGGTTCCGATTATTTTCGAAGATGTTAATTTCTTGAGAGCTACCACGGTTTCTAAAGAACCCGTGAAGATTACTCTTATGATCCAGAAAGGTGAGATAAATCTCCATGGCATTTCAAATTATCACGTCACGATAACTTTCTTGATCAGATCATTTTCAGTCGCTCTCTCTCTCTCTCTCTCTCTCTCTCTCTCTCTCTCTCTCTCTCTCTCTCTCTCTCTCTCTCT